GCGCAGGTAACCGTGAAGGAGACTATTCGATTGTAAGAACATATTGCCACCAATATAGCAACTGGTTGTGCTAGGTCCGTTTCCCAGTAAAATACCTACTCTTCTCTAAGACGACAAGCCAATAATCTCAGCAAAACATGCAGCTGTCGTGGGTAAGCTTGAATTAGTAATTCAAAATCATTGAGAAACTGGCGTAGCATTCGAATCTCGAACAAGTGGAAAAAAAGCTTTAGTTACTAAGGGTGTAGAAAAAAAGAAGTTAAAAACAACCTACGTCAATCTAATCCATTTAGACTCCAGTATAAGATAATATTCACCTGCGAGTCAACTAATGCTGCACAGCACATTTTCGAGCTTTCTCCTATTTCTTTTTTTCTTGTACCAGGTACCTTGTAGTCGATGTGTTGAGTTCACTTCTCGGTTCGCACGTGCATGGGTATAGAGAGCCGGTTAATGGCTGATCGAAAATCCACAACAATAATGGCCAATTTCGAGGTGTTCTATAATTCATCCTAAATGAAAAATACTTTTGGATCACAAGGGACCGTCGCGGCGGCAGTGAAAATGTACCTCTTAGGTTTTTTCTGCATGCGTTCTGGCTTTATTCTTACTTGTTTAAGTAACAATGCGCGCAAAAAGCAGGCAACCTTCTATTGTTCTGCGGCAATTGCAACTTCCCCACATACGAATGTCTTGGTTTTCACACTGATTATGTATCAACCTATGGGTAACACACTTTTAGAATAAAATGTGGATAAACTCTGTTTTGAAACAAAGTTTCTTTTGTATTAAAAGATCTTGTCCAATCATAAGCACTCAAAACAATAGCCAAAAGATGCTTCTAATTTGCTATGTTCCCCACATAGAATTGCTATTAATATTAAAGCTAAGGAAAGCTTTTATRAAGTTAGAATCAGATATGAAATGAAATATTAAAAAATGCGATTACTTTTGAAATTATGTCAGATTTTAATGTTTTACCCAATGAGATGGCTGGATTATACAATACGAAATTAGCACCTTCATGCATTCCATTGCCGTTTGCTTGCCTGCTTCTTACTCGGACCATTATTAACGCTCTAGCTGCTCTAGATGAACTAACCACTATTAGTCTTACATTGCTTGATATAAGTTTTAAAAAATTAGACGAAACCCAGATAATATTAACCCAACAGCATAGAAATAGCTGGACTACTGGTAATTTAAAACTACATATGACTTGACATATTTCAATGTCCAGACCAAACTATAAAACGTCAATTAAAATTGTCACAGGATTTGTTATAAACTTATTAACTAAATGTCAGGCAGACGTAGTCTAACGATACCTTATTTTAGGTATTATTTATTGTATAATCTGGCAAAAACAAAAAAAAACCACGTCTATCTTTGGATCTCATCGTATCTGCACTGTAAGAATTAACGAGTTGAGTACGTTGATTAAAATTATATATAGACCGTGAAATCCGCTCGCGCAAGGATAAAAGAGGGTCCAGTTATCGATCTTATCAAACTCATTAATAATTCATGATGTCATTAGCCAATGATATAATGGGAATCTAATCACGTGATTATACCTTTATATTGGGTAAAAGGTACAGCAATCTTAAAGTTGGGGGCGGCTTTGAATATTTTCAGGGGAGTGCGGGGCTGATTATTATTCAACGTTTTCCTGATACAGACCTAATTAATAAAACATTAGTTCTGTATCAATGATACAAAACGTTCTGTATCAGTGATACAGAACTAATGTTTTATTAATTAGATCTGTATCAGGAAAGCGTTGAATAATAATCAGCCCCGTACTTCCCTGAAAACATTCAAAATGTCTAAGCTCGAGCGCAATCAAACACAATTACAACAAACGCAAAAATCATTTATTAAGTAATTATCTAATTCTTTGAGTTAAAGGTAACATTACTGAATGTGCAGTTATTAAACACAAGATCGGAATTGTTACTAGCTTTAGGGTTAGCTGTGCATGTATAATTATCAATATTAATCCCAGCTAATTCATTATCCGAAACCCCTTCGTCATCACAAAAAAATTGATAATATGTGCTATTCCATCATCAGAAATTCCTTCATCAGGAAACAGGTACTGGTCTAAATCAATATCAAATAGCGGAAAATTAGCATCACTTGCTTCAGTCTCTGAAGAGGCACTTGGCCCTAAAACAGAGCTAGCTTTTTGTAGCTGCTTTTCAGAAGCTCTTTCATACTTGAAAAGTGAATCTGACTTGTGGCCGGTTCTCTCCCTAATTAGTTTTTCTTCGATCCCATCTTGAAAAAGTCGACTAGCAATCATGCAATTTTTTGTATAAGAAACTAAACGATCATGGATCGCTTACGTGGGCTTCAGCTGCCGCCATTGAGCTATAAGTATTTCATTTTCACGATACAGTCGTCTTTGTTTGAAATAGGTCAAGACATAATTAAGTTGATATAAGTTATTTACTATATCACAATTTTTCACCGAACTGAACTCTAAGTAACTTCTTTAAATATCCTGTCTTTCTCAGTTTTTCAAAATAGCTAGACCGACTTTACGCTCTAAGAGCGTCTATATTATTCAAAATATGATTTAAACAAACTTGACCTGAAAGGTCATATAAACAATAGAAACGTTTGAATCATTTGATATCTCGTAAGAACTACTAAGAACTTTGAGTTCGTGGAAAATTATATACGCTAAACATCTTTTAGTGTGTGCCTACCACGGACGGCGTGTGCGTTTTTTTAGTGAGATCAGCGTTCTAGGGTTGATGTCCTTCATTTTCTTGATCAGCTTGCTTTTCTTGGTCACAAACCAGGTCACAGTAGCTAGCTATAAAGTGAACTATATATCGCGATCAGGCCACGAGACCGACTGATGTACAAAAAAGTACTTGTCAAAAATAAAAGTGAGCGAGGATTGATTTAGTTTGATTGGTTTTAGTTTGAAATTGAGACTGCAGACCATCTGCAAAGCAGACGCTACTAATTTGAAGACGACGACGAAGAAGAAATAAGTCCACTGACATTTTAAGACGTGGTCTTCCACGGGAAGCCTACGCAATAACCCTGGCCCCCTATCTTATTGCTCTTAGCATAAACCCTGATCCCCGATCTCAAGTCATACAAAAATATTATACAAAGTATTTCTGTTTATATATTTTCAGAGTAAAAATAATAACAAATAGACTGCATTATATAGAGTGTAGATAAAAACGAGAGTGGTTTTTTAGAGTTTTAACTCTAGCTTTCACCAACAGCTTCTTGTCTTCGTAAACATCTTGGCTTGTGGAAGCAGGAAGATGGTTCACGGTACGTACAGTAGATATTGCTTTCAAGAACGCCTATTCGTGATGACGAAAAAACAGAAACTTTAATCAAGACTTTTATCAATAATTTTTGCAAGCAAGGGACGGTATCAGTCCCCATACATCAAGCAAACACTACTGCCTTTTTAAAAATCACCTCAATCACTATTTAACCAGTATTCAGTTGTAAAGCTAGACCCGGTTCGTACGTCAAGCCGGCGTCTCGCCGAACCAAATAGTCAATTTGTGTCGACCAAAATACATTTGGTACGTCGTTGATTCATATGTCGAATCAAATGCAGTTAAAAGCATAATAGAGGAAATCCGATAAAGATCAATTATATCGATTATTATTCTCAAAAAAAGATATTTTTGTGCGTTAAGTTCGGCACGGCGATAGCTCGACGTCTTTTAAAAGTGGCGTCGAGCTTTTGACGTGCAGCACGACTGGCGCTGCCGTGACACTGCCGTGCGATGAACTCAATTGATTCATACATCGTGCTGTTCAAGTTCTAAATTCTAACTATTTGTTTCGGCGCGACGCTGGCTAGACATATAATCAATTCATAAAAATGTATAACAATAGACCTAATCGGCTAACGGCGTTGCTATGTACGTTGCCACCCAATTCAAATCCTGTGGGGAAAAGAACTTTTGTTTCTAAGAATTCAACAATACAACGAACAATGAAGCTTACTCCCGGGTGGTTTGAATTGGGTTGAAGCCGATTAGGTCTATTGATGAATTTTNTCTACAAAGATCGTGTGTCTGAATACAAGGTGGAGAAGAGGAATGGATGTTACTTAAAAACCCGTCAGGTAAAAATTCGGATTACCACGTTGGCCAACCGCCATATTAATAAAAGTAACGCTCCATAGGAAGGGGATAGTCTAGGATCTTGGAAAAGGGTTATCATGGTGGTTAAAATGCCTAAATTTTATATTTCAATTAAGTTATAACATGATTTGAGCTTACAAAAAATCAGGCAAGCATATTGACGCATTTAATTAATGGTTTAACTGTCTTTAAGCACATTATGTCAAAATATTACAATGAATAATTCATATTTTTAGTGTGATGTAAATCCGTGTCTTGATGGCAAACGGTGTTACTCGCTCGGTGAACATAGTCACACAAGCTGCATTTAGAAATTTTCACAGAATGATGGCACGCAAGGTAAGTATGATTGGATTTATATGTAGTTAACTATTTCCTGATTTAGTCCGCACCTTGAAACGATAGAGTGTGTTCAACATTGATAAATAACATAGTTCATGACTAGTTTTATTATGCGCCAAGTATTAAAGAATTGTTGTACATTTTTGTTGCGTGCACTCCAATAATTGTAATATGTCAAAGAACAAACCATTCTGTAATTATTAGGCAATTTTTAAAAATGTCACAGCATTTTTAATTTGGGGACTGCGCAATATTTATAAGAAGGTGGGCGGTTTGAGAAATGAGCCAAAAAATCAAAACTTTAATTACTATTCCCCCCTCGCAAACGAAGTGATTTACACTAAGACAAGACAAAAGGAAGCGTTCAGCCTCGGTGATCTTATTTTGTCTTCTTAATTTATTCCTTTTTACTAAATACAAATGTCCTATTTTTTATGACAACGTTTTCGCAAGTAGGTGTAATAGTATTAGATAATACTTTCGAAAACCATACACATAATTAATGAGATTTATTATAAATAAACCTTTTATCATAAAGAATACTAATACGAATGGCCTTAAAACAATACATTTAAATTACAACAATCAAAAGCAAAGACATGAGATAAGATTACATGTGGATAGTGGTATTGTAGCGTTTGACCGAAAATGGTGTGTTTTGGTTTGATCGTCGTCTCCCATAGGGATGTTGCAACGTTTTGTTTTCTTTTTACCTCGTTTCCGAACTAAATTCAGGAGTAGTAGTTTATATAATTTTCATTCCATATGATCACGTATTTATTTGATCGGTGATTTAGCAGATTTTTTTAATGATGTGATGTACAATTTTTAATTTATTGCAAAATATTTGTTAGGAGATTGGTGCTTTCCGCCATGTTTGAAATTAAATAAGCCATTAAGTTGGATGACGCAATGCTCGCGCTATTTAATTTATAACGAAACTTCCTGTTTAAGCTCAGATTTATAATGATTAAAGAGCTTTTATTTTGAGCTCATAACCATTAATAGCGATATCTAGAATTTCAAAAAAATCAAAAGATGACAGAATTTTTACTGATAGTTGAAGAAGCTAACTGTTTGAAAAATATGAGAGGGTAATTTAACCTTATAAAAGACGCTCATTTATGCACTTAGAAAATGGCGAAACTGAAACTGAAGATGGCATTATGAAAGTCTTTTAAATCTAAAGATGGTGTGCTATTTTTATAAATTGTTGCATCACTTGTGCTTTTACGCTCATTTGGAAAGAGGTTTTTTTTAAGCATCACGTTTACTGCAAACGGCAGAGCTGAACCAATGACCTAAGAATTTCGTGATTGACCTTGTGCTTTTGGTATTCATTTGAAAGACCGACTTTTCACGATTATGGCAACCCCAAAATAACCCACTCTCGCGTTGAAACTGTAACGGTAAACCCCCAAAAGCAGGTCACGTGATCTTTTCTGCTGTTTTAAGTTCAGTGCCGTGAACGTCATTCCACGAACATCATTGACAAAAGTAAACTGAAGTCAATAAAATTCTTGGCAATGATAGCATAAAGTACAAACATTAACACTGGAAAAAATCGCGCGCCATAAAGGTTGTAAATTTGATGGAAATATGATGTAAGTGTCCAAAATTCTGTAAATTTTATGGAAATGATTTACATCATTTTGGACNCTTAATTTTAAATAATATGTATAGTCGTTTCATTTGTAGTAATTCTAAATCTTCATCCAACATAGAATTACTTCACAGAGAAGAAAACCTGATCATGCTGCTTTTTAACGACACYCAGRGAGCACTTAATGTTAACAAAAYGGCTTCAKTGTCAACTRGCGACCAGTTGGCAGTTCCTCTTCCTCAAGGAGTGATAATTGGGACTTTTACCTTGATTCTTTCCATTACTGGGACATTTGGTAACTTCCTGATAATCTTTGCTATTGTAACAACACCTCAGCTYCAACAAAGACCATCYAATAAYCTTCTCTTGAGTTTAGCGGTGGCCGATTTGGTAGCAACCATAGTTGCACAACCATTGTTTGCCGTGTATGTTTTACTAAAGACCGTTGCCAATCGATGCGTCCTTGGAGTCGATATGGCGTACTTAATGGCAGCGACCCTTTCCGGTGGTAGTTCTATCAGCCATCTTGCAGCCATAAGCATCGACCGAGCGCTCGCAACGGTTAAGCCTCATAAACACCACACCATAATGAAGAAGTGGTTAAAAGTGATGTTATCGTTGTGTTGGGGAACAGTTGCAATTGCGATGATTGGATATTTCAGTGTGCAAATCATTAAGGCTGGAGAAATAGCAGCTCTTTTGTTTAGCATTCTTGATGTTATTTTTATTTCTATAGATTTTGTCCTCATGATCGGCTCATATGCAATAATTCTATACAGAATCAAATTTTCCAATGTCCAACAAACCATGGGAACGTCTTCCACGGCACGCGAAAGAGCTATGGAAAAAAGAGTTTCTGGGACTATAGCAATCGTTATTTTGCTTTTCGCCGCATGCTGGTTCCCTATCGTTGGATATAGGTTATCAAATCCCGACACTTCAGCGCAYTGTTCGTTTGATCAMACACATCTATGGATTCGYACACTTTATTTAGCTAACTCGTCCATGAATTTCATCGTTTACAGCTTGAGGATCCGTCAGTTTCGTACTGCATACAYAAGAATCATTGCCAGAATTGTGCAGCAATTTAGGCAAGTTGTTGGAAAATGCATTTACACAATTCCTAAACAACAACATATGAATGCAACTCGAATAACTGTTGCTCCTTTATCGAATGAAATGCAAGACGCAAATGAAACAATTCAAACTAGTGCAACATGAACTCACTCAGACATCCTCAGATACTGAAAAAAAAGCAATTCCGTGAAGTTTCTAGTCTAAAAAAATATGTAATATTATAAGAATAAAATCAGTCAGATCCGTTCATCTCACTTACATCAGGAGAATGTAGGCAGGTTAATTTCTTGGAACAAGAGCGCACAAWGTTCCGACAAACGAAACGTTAGCTTGATGCGCYCTCGGTCATTATTGACAACATGATCTGCAATGCTGCAACCGTTGCAATTAAAAATTCTCTCGAAGGAACTAAATATTATCAAATGCAATCAAATATACAAAAAGAGATTGAAAGAAAAGAATGAAACTTTGAATACCTATAATTGTATCTTTTCACGTGAYCAAATTGTGTTGCGAATTTTTTCTCACCACAATTTTATTTTCGCCAATGTTAAAACGAAATGTACGCCTTCAACTTTTGTCTTAACATTTGATAGATCAATGTTCTTAAGATCAATTCCTAAAATAAACTCAAAAACATTAATGTAAACACACTATTTAAACCTCATCACAAAMRAAGTGAAAAAAACAATTTCTGTTTTGGYTAGACTTTGTCCTTTTAAAATGAATTCTAAAACGAACTTTTTTCAAAAARCAACCAAAAGTGTCCCAAACAAAGGTTTAATTGAGAGCAGCGTCCAATTTTACAGAAAACAAACAGTTTCTCAATATGCGACATTTTAGGCAGATGAATATAAAATTGACTTGACGATRTTTGCTTTTTGCCTTAGATCTTTTCAGCCTTGTTCTCAAACCAAATTAAAGTCGTCGCAARCRTTTCCTRCATAGATATAATGTGCGRGTGGTAAAGTYAAYTATTTGTTAAGCATTAAAACTACTTTGAGAATAAAAAAAATATTTCGTATATAAATGGTTCGCAAATAATGAATGAAGCAATGATCACGTTCAACTATTAATTTTGACTGACAAATTTTMTGCCTTTAGGTCAGGTAGCGGCCGGAGCAAATACAATCTTAAGTGAGGATAAAAAGCAAACGGACAATGACTTTAAGGTGCTATATAAWCATTCTTTTGAAGAAAAACGTTTTTGAAAATGYTACGTGACGCCATCCAAGGCATCATTGTTTGCAGTATCTTGCGTTTGGYTAAAAYGGTCAAATCATGAATCATACCCATATTCAATAGTTCTTATAGTTTCCAATTTAAACAAAAAATAATGTCCTCTTTTCGTGCTTATAAGTACACATTTGTATTTTCGAATTTCAAGTAAAATGCTTTTAAATCAAAAGATATAAATTTGAATATTTTACGTTTACAGAAGTTCTTTTTAGCACCATGTAGTCCAGCAGCATATGTCTGAAAATATAATCCCGTACGAATTTTCTGCTGAAAGCAAGCCAATGGTCTAGATATGTTCATTAGACCCTACTTGCTAAAAAGTGTTGTTGACAGTCGTGAATTTTGTTTGGAGACTTTTTATTAAAGTTTTATTATTATCATTAATATATTATTTTTCGACATGAAAACGAGGCTGACAACTTAAGAGCATATAAACGGTTGTTTGAAGCCATTTATTGGATGTGAAATAACTTAAATTACCACTTGCGATGCTTTGACCATGTTGACTGCAGTATTAGGCGTTAAGTGTTAGTGTTATTAGGCGTTAGTGTAAGTGCATATAAACGGTTGTTCCAAGCCATGTATTCTGGATCTAAAATCACCTAAAKTAGTACTTGTAATGTGTTTAGCATGTTAACTACAGTATTAGGTCACATGACCATATTAACATGACAACGAGGCTAATAGTTAAAGTGCATTATATATACTCAGATATACACTGTTGTTTCAAGCATTTTTGCCTGTAAAATCACCTAAATTAGCATTTAGGATACTTATAAGACACACACCAAGTACTATAGGCGAAGGTTGTCACATGACCATTTTAACAYGAAAAAGAGGCGGTAAAATGAAATGAATCTAAGTTTCAGAACTATTACTGTATCACTTGAAATGACAAAACAATGTTCAAAAATATAAGGGCAGCAAGGATGGCCGAGCGGTTAAAACGCTGGTCTATCACCGCTGTGGTCCTGGTTCGATTCCCGGTACGGGACTACATGTGATTTGAGTTTGTAGGCTGGTTCTCTTCCTTGCTCCGAGGGTTTTTCTCCAGGTCCGCTGGTTTTCCTCCCTCAGTCAAAACTAGCTGTGAGGAGCATCGTGTAGTAAAATAATCAGTGAATGTTGAGGTAGTAGTGAGTATGAGTGAATATATAGAGGGCCACAAGTTTATTAGTCTAGAGACTATTACGTGCTACCCTCTCAAAATAAAAGACTTTATTTTTTTTTATTTATTTATTTTATTTTTAAATCAAAGTATTTGAAGCATATTGAAATCAGTATTTACAATTTTGTGGAAAGAAGACWATTTTTACATGAAAAGAGAATTTTTAAATTCAAATTAAAAATCAAGGTATCACTCTCATTTCACTTTCATCTTCGTCGTTGGTTTCTTCTGACATTAAGTTTTCACATACTTCTTCATCATCACAACATTTACAGARGTCAATACAATTTAGTCCTGCTTTGACGCATTGGCATCAATTGTTGGTACATTTGTCCTTAGCACAGATACATTACCTTAACCAACTGGATTATTGCTCCGAGGACAGGCGGCAATGGGGTCATGACTGGTACCCATGTGTTTTCCTCCTACCGCCACCCATAGTCTTCAGGTGATAGTAGCTCTGGATTGCAGATGATGTCACAATTCCATACCATTGCTTGTTAGTGAGCTCTCAAGATGCCTTCTTTCAGGTCGAATTCTGTAGGTGGTAACTGCTCAGATTAAGCCTGCTTCTTCTTGAATAAGATCCATGTCAGATTCTGCACTTTAGAGATAGCTGTCTTGGGTAGATACAGCTTACATACACATTTTTTGAATCTCGATTTGGTTTATTCAGATAGGTACTGTGTTGTCCCAAGARCTGCTAGGGCGGTGATGATATCTTGGTCACTTTCTTAGTACCTTGAAACAGGCCAAGTTTCCTTTGCCAGCTCGCAGTTGATGCTACTTTATGAAAATGGTGCGACAGAAATTGAGATTCACTCGCCTGACACAGACGAATTTTGTACTATCCTTGAGATGATACACTGAATTGTGTGACAACATATCTTTTGTGGCTGGAACCGGCCAACGCAGACGAAATATCAAATTACTGAAAGGCAATTGTTCAAGCTCTTGGCTCAGGAAAAACCTTGGCATTACCCAGGTTTTCACGCTTTGAGCGGAGCTGACAATACAGGAGAATTTTCTGGCAAAGGAAAGTTGCCCTGTTTCTAGGTACTACCACGAACAACAAGCCAGCAGTCATGTCTACCTGATCATGACGTGTTGGCTGTAAGGTTAAATAGCGCTTTCTTTACGTAGATGGGAATCCGAAAAACTGCGCTATCTTGGTGCTCTTCTGCTCAACAATTGTACTAACATATTTTTGTAGTTGCGGCACGAAATAAGCAGCTTAGCAAGTGGTGTGCAATGCGATTAAATTGGTTTGACAGAGTCTTTTTTCGAAACTGAATAATTATTTTAAGTTCTACTTCAAACGAGTTCGTCCGATAAAATGTAATGTCCTCTTGTGCGTACATCAGAAAATTATGCGAGTGGTACCATAACACAGGGATCCCGACAATAAATAGCTGTGAAGGACGGAAACTAGCAAACCATTTTACTTCAAGAAAATGGAGACGACATTCTAAAATTACAGGATTGTTTTTACTATGAATACTCACTATCTAATGAAACAATCTATCTAAGAGGGAGAAAATACTGAAAAACAACACCTAAAATATGAAACTATGTTCGTGGTTACATAACGTACAATAGATTGCGCGTTTTATTTCTTTGTTTTAATCTTTCATTCTCATTCACTGCATTCTTTCATACATTGATTTTTCCATCCATCCATTCATTTCCACTTTGGATTAATTTATTTGTTCATGTATTTTAATACATTAAAATACTCAGAATGTATCGCTACTAAGCTGAGACATTTTATCAAATCATATGTACATGGACTCTGAATAATTATTTAAGTTATACCAAACAAGGTCATTCAATAAAACGGAGTCTTATCCTCTTGTGTGTATAACAGAAAATTATGCGCCAAGACACCAACACAGGGGTCCCGACACTAAAGAGCCGTGAAGGACGGAAAATGGCAAAGAATTTTGCTTGAAGTAATTGATGCTCTTAAAGGTGGCGATATTCAAAAATTACAGGATTGTATGTTATTATAAATACTCATGATCTAATGAAACATGATAGCAATTAAACAAATATATTTAAAACCAACAGCCAAAATGTGAAATATGTTCTTAGGTTACCGGTTACATTATGTACAATAACGTGTTTTTTTCTATATTTCACTCTTTCAGTTGTCATTCTCTCATTTTGTCTTTCATATGATCATTCAATGATTCTTCCATCCATTCATTTATTCCTTTTATTTATCCATTCATTTGTTAATTTATTAATACATAACATACCATATCTTAGCTAACAACTTGACACATTTATTTATCAAATCATGTGTATATGGTATATTTATTATTTATAAGTGAAACCCCGTTGTCATAAAACATTCATTTCCGGGTTGAGCAAGACTTCAGGTACTTCTGCACAGCGGGATTACAAACGACAGAACTCTTCCGATTCCAAAGAACCAAAACCTTGTCTCTTGGACGAAAAATGCTATAAAATCGACTAGCAAAGAACCACTTCATATCATGATGTTTGATTGATTCATTATCGTGCAAGAATCTTGTATCGACTCTGCATCGTATGTGAACGAGGAAAAGTATTCAGTGCAATAAGATTTCGACACGACTGGACTCGGTACAAAGGTAAGACGACATTTTGTATTCATTGAGCTAGATAACATACAACAAACACTTTATAATTCATCAGAAAGTGGTATTTATCCTTCAATCATGTCACCAATCGTTAGTGGTTGTTTATTACTGTCTAAGTACCGATATGAATTCGAAATAACTTATTAGTCGAATGTCGTCGAATTCAACACGATTTTATAACGAAATGTCMCTAGATATTTGTAGCAATTCTATTCAATTGACTTATTTTATTCATCATATTTGTGATTTAGAAGATTAATATGAGCTATTTTACTCTTAATATCAATGTRTTTACTGTTTGAGTTTAAGTGGATACAATGTTTACTTGTCGCCATTTTGAAAACACAGGAAGCCCAATTTGATATACTGAAGGCTTTGGASAGACAACATGAAATGGTCGAAGGCATGTTCTATCGGTGAATCAAAACTACAAGCTGGTGAGACTAGAGATGCTATAAGATACTTTAAAAAGGCCCTGGTGATTGCACGAAGGAATGGGTCTAAAAAGGAAGAAGTTATCACGCTTGAACGACTTGGTAATGTTTACGGTCGTATTGAAAATTATCACGAAGCTGTTGATTACTATGAGAAGGGACTGGAAATAGTACAAGAGACTGGTGACAAGAAACTAGAGTGTGAGATGTGTTATAGCATTGGCGGTGCGTGTGGTAAACTGGGAGATTATGAAAAGTTTATGCAGTATTCAAAACAAGGCTTGACTGTTGCATTAAGAATCGGTGACTCTAGACTCACTGCACAGTCCTATGAAGGTCTTGGTCGTGCTTACAATGCCCCGTGTGACTATCAAAATAGTATTAAGTGCTATAAAAAAGCTATTGATTTGTTCAAACGACTGAATAATGAAGAAGGATTAGGGCGTTGTTATGGAAACATGTCATTATCATATCAAAGGCAAGGAAAGTACCATGATGCAATTCGTCTATTAGAGGAGAGTCTCAGGATAAGTGTTAAAATTGGAAGCAAAGAAAAGCAGGCGAGTGACTTACTTAACTTGGGAACAATATACGCGAGGCTGAATGATATTGATAAGGCCGTCGAGATGTTCCAGAAAAGTCTTACTATCAGTATAGATATCAGTAATAAAGGTCTTCAAGCAAAATGTTATGTTGGACTGGGAAATGCTTTGATAAATTATTCTAACAAATATTCAGAAGCCATCGTGTATTATCAGAAATGCTTAGACATTTCAAAAGAAATCGATGATAAACAATCACAATCGGTCGCCTTATTAAACATTGGCGCATGCTTAGAGGAATTACATCGATACGAAGAGTCGAATGTCATATACGACATTAGTCTTGCTATTGCTAAAGAATTAAATGACAAAGGTCTTGAGGCAAGTATTTATCATGCTATGGCTGTAAACAATATGAGAAGAAATCAATTTCAAACTGCTTTAACTTTATTGGAGAAATGCCTTGACATCGCTTCGACAATCGGCAATAAAGAACGTGAAGGTAATGCTTGTTATCTTCTGGGTGAAGTATAYTATTCATTACACAAAGAAAACCAAGGACATCAAGCATGTCATAATACTGATGATAATATAGCTAAATCAGAAGAATACTTGAAAAAAGCTGTTGTTTGTTTTGATTTTTTGTTCCTACATCTCCATCAACGGGATCTTTTCAAAGTCTCCATTTTTGATAAATTCATTGCAACCTACAAGCTACTCACCACCGTACTGATCGAGACAAAGAGAACACAAGAGGCTCTGTTAGTATCTGATGGTGGAAGAGCACGTGCTTTAGGAGATCGCTTGATTTTTAAATACGGTATGATTCAACAAGAATATTTATCGCCTAGACCATTAACTTATCCTGATGTAGAAGGGATCCTAACAAATGATGGATTCTCTTTGCTGCATTACAGCTTGCTAAGCAACAGTTTAGCTGTGTGGGTTTTAGCTAAAGACTCACTGATGTTCAGAGAAACTGAAAAGGAACAATTTGATTCTGCCATASAAACATTGACTCAAGAAAAGAAAGATGATGATGAAAACTCCATTAAACGTTTCTTTACTGCTACGRTTTCAAGAGCATATGAAATGATGAAAATCCAAGAAAGCGTCACTTGTGAAAACAGATCACTTGATGATTGCGTTACATCGAAAGATCACGTCACTACAAAAGCTTCTGAATCTCTGTCACGTGATGATGGTACCAGTGAWGAGACCCTCGATAAAGCGTCACACCCACTTGAAATGTTGTACAATTGTTTAGTTGCCCCTGTCCTATCAGAAGTTCAACACGACGAGATTGTCATAGTACCCGATGGASCAATGTATAGAGTACCGTTTGCTGCCCTCAGGGATCCCAATACAGGACAATATTTGTCAGACACCAAACGCATTCGTCTTGCTCCATCGATAGCAATATTTAAGGCTCTAAAGGAATGTCCAGTGGATCATCACAGGCAAAAAGGAGCGTTGATTGTAGGAGATCCCAGTGTTGGAGAGGTGATGTTCAGAGGCAAGAAACGAGTGTTTGAACGTTTACCTTCAGCAGAAACGGAAGTCAGATTTATTTCTTATAAATTGGGACAGGCCGCTCTGACTGGAGAACAAGCTACCAAAAACACTGTGTTGCACAAACTGAGAGAAGGATCAGCTTTAATTCACATTGCTGCGCATGGTAGCTCTGATAATGGTGAAATAGCGCTAGCACCAAATGTCTCACCAGAAAGACAAGGAATCCCAGAAGAAGATGACTACCTGTTGACGATGAAAGAAGTCCAACAAATCGGAATCAAAGCTCAACTTGTTGTCCTAAGCTGTTGTTACAGTGGYCGTGGAGAGATTAGGGCTGAGGGCATGATTGGACTTAGTCGTGCTTTCCTTGCGGCCGGAGCTCGTTCTGTCGTAGCTTCATTGTGGGCAATCGACGACGTAATAACTTTGTGTTTCATGCTGAAGTTTTACGGTTATCTTACTGGAGGGGATAGTGCGAGTGTAAGCCTTCATAAAGCCATGCTAGATATCCGAGCAGAGGAAGGCCACAGGGATCCCAAGTACAGAGATCACAAGTACTGGGCTCCTTTCTTCCTGATCGGTGATGATGTCACACTCAATTTGTAAGTAAAAAGCATCTTTCATCGCAGATTTATGTCAACAAATGAATATKAAACTGAAAAACCCAAATCAGTATTGATTCAACACGAACATCAACACGAACAGTGACAGTGTGCTTTCGGCATGTCTCTCCAGGGCAGGTTGTCATTACTGTCGCTTGTAAATATGTAAATTACGTTATTTCTGCACTGAGTTGTTGTTCTTGCGTGATAAACCATAGTTAATGTTAACTATTATTATAAACTTATCAATACTGCATGAGCTATTACTCCAATAAGGGCCTTGTAGTATAGTTTACAACACGGTCGACACCTCGAGACAAACCAACACTAGCAAAGGTCTCAGTTTTAGTATCGCATCATAGACCTTTACTAGGTTTTGAAGCAATCAAAGACGGATAACAGAACTCGCTTATGCAACAGATGGCTTGCTTTCCATGTGGTATGGATAATTATTCAAAATGTCCTGTGTTGCAGTAAATTGCGCATGCCTAATAGCGACTAAACTCAGAGATTGTAATTCTCATACAACACGGCCGCTCATGTTGTAAACTGTACTTAACTATTATTATATTAACTATGGATAAACCTTTTAATTTGTGATTTAGTTTTATGCGAATTAGGCTCTCCATGGCAACGATTAAGAAAGCACACAAAAGACAGGATCAGATTTTTGTCTATTTTGTCTGGTACTGAAAAGTAAAGGTTATGCGATCATACATTCAGGTTGTTGTACGCCTTTTGTGAATTTTTGAAGAGATTTTACCTATGGCACAAGCTGGTACGTTTCTTTAAAATTTCACCAAAATTGTAGCTAGTACTACCGTAGTGTAGAAACGTCAGATAAACTGCTTTTTGTGTGTGCTTTATTGTTGCCAAATAAATA